TTCTTCTTCTTCTTCTTCTTCTTCTTCTTCTTCTTCTTCTTCTTCTTCTTCTTCTTCTTCTTCTTCTTCTTCTTCTTCACTGAAGTCTTTAAGGCATAACTCTTTTACCATAGTTGAACATTGTTCTAGTGTAGTCGTTACAAACATTAGTAACTGTTAACTGCTGAACTATTTGGAGCCCTTATTATTTACTTAGAAGTAATGAAACCTTAGACCTTGCCAACTGAAAATAACATTTTCTGTTTTGATAGTTAGATGTACGACACTTGTATGTGTAGTCCCATATAAGTGAAGACCAGAAAAAGAGCCTGATTGTGTTAAGAGAGTAATAGGAGGTTTTTTTTTTTCCACCCAAGTTATGAGTATATTGCCCAAAGTTTCTGGAGGTAGAATGTTAAGCTGTTGGTAAGATGCTTTAGGCAAGGATGCAATCAATCTAGTCATATATGCTGTTGTACCAGAAGGATGAGGCAGTATCTGAATATGTGACCTGTTTGTTCCTAAACATGTTGGTTAACTTTTTTTTGTCAGTGACAGGTTTGAGAAGTTCACCTGCTCAGGTCCTGGGATAAGTCACAGACACCTGAGACTACTAAGGGAGAAACCATCACAGACACAGGTAGAAGAATGGGGAAAATCCTGAAGAATGGGAGGACAAGAGGAGGAAGGATATACATGACAGAAATTTGATTCACTGATGTTTGGAGGCAGGAGTAAGAGATGAATATACCAATTAATTTGAACAGTAAAGTATTTATAGGTACACTTCATTTTTTTCATAGTTCCAACTTTAAAATGTAAGGAAGCAATGGAGTGCCCTTCACATACCATTCCAAATATCACAGACATAAACGTAATAATATTAAGTTTTAATAGTATTAATTAATTCTTAATACTATTAAGAATTACCTATTTTATTATTTTAGAAGAAATATTTTATGGAAAATTCAATTAATATGACTTTAAATAGTTACAATACAAAGCAATCTTGAACTCCTTTGAAAACTCACACTGGACAGTTTCCACCATATTATTCATGAAGCACTATTATTTATAACATTCTAAGCAATCATAAAAATCCCAGAATACTCATTTGAATGGCAACCATTAATTTATAGTTTTCAGTATTTTTTTTTAATTCATTGCTAAAGAACTATTTGTTTTAAGCAATTCCTTTGGCAAATCTTTGAACTGAAACTGCTAAAATAAGATTTTGGTTGTCTGGTATGAAAGACAAACAGCGGACTCTTCGAGTGCGTGTGGTCATCTAGAGACCTGTGCAGCCACACACAAGGCGTGGGAAGGCTTCCAAGCTTGTGGGGAGTTGGCTCTGTAACTTTAAGTTCTTCTAAGTCTTGTTTATTAACAATAGAACTTTATGTTTATAAAAGCAGAAGCCAAAAACATTTAATGATATGGACTCTACTAATCTTCTGCTGTTTTTCAGTTGCTAGTTAGTTTCTCTCTCTCTCGAAACAATCTTTTCTTGCTGCACTTGGACCTGTTTCCATGGTTAAGCAGTTTTATGAACAATAGCCTCCTACCCATTAGTCTACATTTTCTTTCTCAACTCCTTCACTTCATTGTTCCTCTACACAGATGCTTCCATAGCCCCTCTTTCCTTACTTCACTCTGCCTTGGTCTTTCAGCTGGTATTTTCTGTATTTGAAAATCCACAGTAAACTGCTCCAGAGGAAGGTGACTCTTCACCATTAAAGAAAAGCAAATGTTACTGACCTTATTCAGGAGATGAGAGTGTTTCAGAGAGCCGAAAGAGTTGAGCATGGGGAAGGTTAGACTAAAATGAGAATTGTAGGATTTTTCTATTCCAATGAGAAGTTTATCTAACTGTATATACTCTGACCAAAGAAGAAATTATAATCAAATTAAAATTCTGCTCTATGATAAGTGCAAACAGAATAAATCCATTTTATTAGCCAAGAACTAAAAAGTAATGAAAAAGGAGATTTGTCTTTTGGACAAATTTAAAGTAGGTCAAGTTTGAAGATTAAAAAAAAAGTCAGTTTATTTGACTTGTGAATTGTAAGATTCTTGGTACATCTCTGGCTTAAAAGGCAATCCTAGCTCTGTATCTTTTCTTCTTCATGTGTGTCTCTGAAAAACTAAAGCTCTGTATATTTCCTCTGTGAGGTAGGAACTATGAAGGACTACTAATTAGTAAACCTAAAAACGATGACTGCTGAGTTATCATTACTGACACTATTCAGCTACAATCTGAAATTATTAGCCTTTTGTTTTATTATTAAAATTTAATTATTAAATTTATTATTATTATTAGCCACACAGTTTCTGGTGGGCCTGCAGCTGATGAAATTCGGCACAAGCAAGAAATGTCGGAACATGGGAACTCTAAGAACTATGACTTCTTAGGAGCAAAATGCAGAAACCACCAATCCATCACAGTCAGCTAAGGTAATCCGTCATGCCCTCTAGGTTAGCTCGGTCATCTGTGAGTTGATGAACTACAATGTCCTCAGTATTCATACACCAAATGTGTCTTCCTCTTTTGTCTTGATAAGAAGATCTTGCAGGCCCAGAACTCAGTGTGCAAAATCAGCTGACATCAAACTCCTGTCTTCACCTCTGGGGCACTGGCGCTGCAGGCATGGACCATCTCACCAGGTCAAAGTTTTTATTTTAGAATCTTGATTGGGTGTGGAATCTATTACGAGGAAAAAAAACAAAGAATTTATTTGAGTTTTTAATTTTGATTCCTAGAAGTATCTCTGTCTTATTTTGTAATTCAATTCCATTCACCAATTACAACAACCTAGGGTTTGTTTGTTTGGTTTGTTTGGTTTGTTTTTGGAAAAGCTGAGGAAAATAGAGAAACAGAAGTCTGTTTACACAATTTCAGGAAGGCCCCTCTTTCTGGATTCTAGCCTTCAGATTATATTAGCTCCATATTAGTTATAATTTTTGTTTACTGATTATAGTGGGATAGAAAGAAGAGTCCCCAGGAAGAACTTTGGAGTTTTATCAGTGTTTTGCATATGCTAAATCTTCATAATTGCTATGAAGTAAACCAACTGAGGGTCTGTTGTTTTGTAGCTGTGGTTCTCAACTTTCCTAACGCTGCAACCCTTTAATACACTTCCTCATGTTGCGGTGACCCCCAATCATAAAATTATTTTCATTGCTACTTCATAACTGTAATTTTGTTAATGCTATGAATTGTAGTATAAATTTATGATGTGCTGGATATCTGATATGCAACCTCTGTGAAAGGGCCGTTCTACCTCCCAAGGAGTCAAGACTCACAGATTGAGAAGGAAAAAAATAAATTAAAGGCAAGGACACATAGCTTGGTGGCCTCCAGGAGGCCTGTCTCTGGCTTGTGCCTCTACTGAAAAGTCACCTCACTTCTAAAGAGTAGAATTTTCTTACTTATTTTTTCCCATGAATGTATCCTGTACCCCAATCTGTTAGCACAGATATATTACCTACTTCTGTACTTTGCAGAATGGGTGTGTGAGAGGATTCAGGTCAAGTAAAGAGAAATTAGAAAACAAATTGATTCACTTTTTCTTCATGTTTTGCAATTTTTTTCATATTTGTGCATTTATTGGGTAGAGAGCATTTTGTGATTTCAAGTGTGTAGTGAAAGACCAACTTGAGTTTCCTCTGTCCATAGTGGGATCCAAAGATTAAAACTCGGGTCATCTGTGTTGGTGGACAGTGCTTTTATCTGCTGAGTCACCTTGCCAGGGCACAATTAGTTGTTTGCAGCATCTTCAACCTGGATCATCAGCACTGCAGAAAGTTGAGAACAACAAAGCCGGCCAGTGTGAAGATGTGGTAAGCAGTTAACAAAACAAGAGAATCAACACTGCTCAGAACTTTGAGATTCATTTTGCAGTTCCTGAAGTGTGAGAATTTTCATGTTGAAGTTCTAGCAGTTCATATCTCTGATCTTTTTGAGCCTCTTTGATAAAATGAGTCATAGATTGATCTTTTGTCTTTACTATTGCTATTACTTATTTTTAATCATTGAGGAAAAAGCTAAATATCAAAATCCTATCTTCCATGCAAGGTAATATTAGCACATGGTAGAGACATCTAGGTAAACATTTGGTTAAAATACCAAAAGAAGCATTTTGATAAGGTCTTCTAATGAACAGCTGTGTTCACCCACAATAGTGTTGGGGAAAACTTGATTTCTGTTTTAAATTGTTGGTGGTGGGTGGTTTATGCAGAAAATTGAGGATTCAAGATAAAATTTTAATTCAAAAATATCTGGATAAATTGAAGTTACATGACTGGTTTAAAGGGAAATGGGAAGTTAAGACCAAAAGCCTGTGATTTTCTGCTATGTGGACTGGGTTGTTGATTAGTGTTTAAATAAAGTTGGAAGAAAATGACATATTGCAAACTGTAGCCCTTAAAGCAATAATACTCAATGTTTTTTGAATCATGCTTGGGGAAAATATGATCTTTGTAAGGCTAATAGAATTTAGGACTCAGAGCAGTTTTACATTCTGGAAACATTATTTGTGTTCAAAAATTATAAAATAATACTTTATAGCCTACATGGAACAAAATTATTCAACTTATGAAACACAGAGCTAGTGAGAGTGAAATCAGAGTTAGAGACCAAACTCTCCACCTGCCATGTGCCCCTATATGTGTGGCCTCTGAAAGTTCGGGTCTTTAATTGAGGCTACCATTGCATAGTAGAAGAGATGTGGCACCAATATTCTACACGATAGTGTTTATAAACCCATAAAAATACATACTTTTAATAATAAAAATGCCATTTTATCCATCTTTTTAATCACAAAACCTGACTCATGTGAAGTTTACCTATGATACAATTGTTTTCCTATTATTGATCATTAAAAGTAGTATTTATAAAAGAATACCACTGAGGTTTTGTGATTTCCTTCTTTACTCTAATATGATTGACAAAATATTCATATTTAAAATGTAGCATGCTAATTCAATATATGCATGCATTGCAAAATGGATGTCACAATTTATTAAATTAAAATTACATTACACACACACATATATTATGTATAAATATACATCACTTCATGGGCTGGGAATATAGGTCAGTAGTACAGCATTTGCCTGGTGGGAGCAAGGCCCTGGTTCAATTTCCATCACCCCAAAGCAAACCAAGAACATGTTTGTTGCTTCATGAGGTCACACCTCCTACATGTCTGACACAAACACCTATTTTCTCTTCTCTCAATAAATTTCATTTATCAAATTCAAAGCATGTCATTTATAACTCTAGTCATGCTACTGTACATTAGGAATTAGGAACTTGGGGGCTGGAGAAATGGCTCAGTAGTTAAGAAAATGCACTGTTCTTGTAGATTTGGCTCCTACCACTGTGTTACATAGTTCAGACTTGCTTGAAATATCAGTCCAAAGTAATCAGATGTCTTCTTCTGACCACTGCAGTCAGCTGCATGAACACACACACACACACACACACACACACACACACAAGCACAAACACATACACAGAGAGAGAGAGAGAGAGAAAGAGAGAGAGAGAGAATACAGACATACACATACATAGATTGATTTATTTTTTTCAAATATTGAGGACTTCCTCATTTTAACTAAAAGTGTAGACTTTGCTAAAAATCTCCTGCTTCCTGCTTACTAGTAAGCACTAGTCCACAATGATTTGAACCTTTCAAATTTCAAGTGTAAATGAGATCCTTACAGCATGCTCGCTAGTCTTATGTCAACTGATACAAACTAGAGTTATCTGAAAGGAGGGAGCCTCAGTTAAAAAAATGCCTCCATAAGATCTGACATTTTCTTAATTAGTGTTTGATGGGGTGGTGTCCATTGTGGGTGGTACCATCTCTGGTCTGGTGGACCTGGGGATGAGCAAGCCAGTAAGCAGCACCTGTCCATGACCCTGCATCAGTTCCTGCCTCCAGGACCCTGCCCTGTTTGAGTTCCTGTCCTGACTTCCTTCAAAGATGAACAGTAATATGGAAGTGCAAACCAAATCAACCCTTTCCCCTCCAGCTTGTTTTTGGTCATGGTGTTTTCGTTACAGCAATAGAAAGCCTAACTAAACCATATAGCATTTGTATTTCTACATCTGTATATATAACCACACATACTTCCATTTATCTATTCATTTGTTTGAAATGGGCAGTCTCTGCACCTTGGTTATTGTACATAATACTGTGATAGGAACATATATACTTCCATAACATGATGACTTCATTTCTTTCCTCAAGAGAGGTATAAGGGGTTATTCAATAGTTCTATCTTGAATCTATTTGAGGAATCTTTGTATGTATTTCTGTACTGTTCTGATTTGCGTTGTGAAATCAACACAAGGGTATGAGTGCGCCCTTCTCTCCACAGTTGGCCTAGCACTTATCATTCCATTCCCTTCCTGATAATAGCTGTAGCAAAAGGTGTGAAGAAATACATCACTGAGGTTCAGATTTGCATTTCTCAGATAATTACTGAATTTAAACTCCTTTCCTTAACTTATTGGCCATTTATGTATCTTCTTTTCCAAAATGTCTGTTCAGCCTCTGTATTCAGAAAATTTTCTTATTGCTGTGACTAAATGTCTAACAAAAAGGACCTTTAAGCTTCAAGGGGTCAGGAAAGTATGGAGGTTGGTACAGCAAGAGCTTTATAAAGTGATTGTTTAAAACTCAATGGGTAAAGAAGCAGAGATGGAACTAGATTTAACCCTCAAAGTCTTCTCCTACTTTTGTATGAGGAGCACTCATTCATTTCCGCACTGCCCAGACTCCCAAAATAACCACTCAAACTGTATTAATTAAATCACGGCTTGGCCCATTAGCTCTAGGTTCTTATTGTCTAACTCTTACATGTTAATTTAATTCACCTCCATTAATCTGTGTATTGCCACATGGCCGTAGCTTACGGGCAAAGTTTTGGCATGTCTATCTCTGGCGGAAGCTCCATGACTTCTCCTGACTCCACTTTCTTTCTCCCAGCATTCAGTTTAGTTTTCCCCACCTAGTTCTACTCTACACTATCAGACCAAGCCAGTTTCTATTAACCAGTGATATTCACAGCATACAGAGGGGAATCCTACAACGTACTGCTGACATTTTACATGGAAGCCATCACAAGCCTTCGTCTACTTGAAATACTGGGTATATGCTTAGCAGCTAGGTTTTGACTTTATGCTGCTAACTATATGAGTCCCTATGATTTATACTACTATTAATCCTCATCTGCTAAGTATTTTAACAAACATTTTTCCAACTTTAATTTTATTTCATTTACTTACTTTTTCTTTTGTCATCTGTGACTTGGATATCATATTGACTACCAAGACTAAAAACAAAGACAAAAACGAAACCCATTGAAAGGAGTAAAAAGACTAGGAAGTGTGACCTTGTTGGAGGAAGTATGACACTGAGGACTTGTTTTGAGATTTCAAAGTTCATGCTAAGCCTGGAGTCTCCCTCTGCCTGCCAATCATGATATAGTTCTCAGTTACTGCTCCAGTACCATAGTCCCTGCCATGATGATAAGGAACTAAGCCCTGAAACTGTCAGCAAGCACCAATTAAATGCTTTCTTTTAGATGAGCTGCCTTAGTCATGATGTCTTCTAACAGCAATAGAATGGTAACTAAGACACCACCAAGGCACAGGGGAATCACACCAGTCCCATAGGAATTAGGAAACTGGCA